TCAACACAAACACCACAAGTGGCTGTCTTTAATAAACAAATTTATTCTCATAGTTTAGGAGGATAGAATTTAAAATACAGAGTGCCAGGTGAATTTGGGAGGTTGTTCTTTGTCTTCTTTCAATATCTGTGGTAAAGGCATATATAGGAGTTCTCCATGTAGCTCAGCATCAATCTTGCCTTGTTTCTAGGAAGCAAGATTGAGCACCGTGTGTTCAAAGAAATGCTCCTCTTCTTCTTGCTTGATGGTAATCGGGCCCTTCTTCTCTGCTCATTTCTGTCTACTTCTATCTCTTGCAAAATAAAATGTTATAAGTCACACCCCAGAGAAACTCCTCACACAAATGGTCACGGATGTCATATTAAGACAGAATACAAAAATTACTGAACAATATCATCCAAGTAAAATTCTTTGGAAGATAATTTAAAAATGATTGTAGCAGTATATCTACAGGGAATGGCCAGAAATCCAAGCCAAATTCAGAAGAGAATGCAGGAAGAGACATATCATTGCAGATGTCAGAGGGATCTTGACTGAAACCAGAGAATACAGAAAGATGGTTACTTGTATATATTGATTATGAAAAGGCACTGGACTGTGTGAGCCACAGCCAAATTTGGATAGCTCCGTGAAGAACAGGCACTCCAGCAAAGTCAATAATGTCCATGAGGGATCAGCATATACACCAAGAGACAGCTGTTCAAACAACACAAGGGGATGGTGAGTGGTTTAACATCAGGACACGTGTGTGTAAGGGTTATATCCATTCACATACTTACTCAATCTGTATACTGAACAAATAACCTGAGAACCGGCACTATATGAAGCACGATGTGGTGCCAGAATTGGAGGAAGGTTTATTAGCAACTAGAAAAATGCAGATAGCATGATCTTCCTTGCTGAAAGTAAAGAGAACATGAAGCACTTTCTGATGAAGATCAAAGATTATTGCTTTCCGTATGAATAACACCTCAATGTGGACAAAACAAAAATGCTCACAACTGGAACAATAAATAACCATGATACGTGGAGAACATATAGAAATTTCCAAGGATTTTATTTTATTTGGATCTACAATCAATGGCCTTCGAAGATGCTTTTGTCGTTGTTAGGTACCATCAACTCCATTTCAAATGACAGCAACCCAAAGCACAACTGAACAAAGCACTGCCCAGCCCAGTGCCATGCACACAATTGTTCTGAGGCCTGAGGTCATCATGAAAGCTACTGATTTAATCCCTCTCGTTGAGGGCCATCATCTTTTTCACTGCCCCTAAACTTTAAAAAGCATGATGTCCTTCTCCCGGGACTGTTGTTTCCTGAAAACAGGCCCAAAATATGTAACAAGAAATCTTCCTTTAAAGAGCACACTAGCTGTACTCTGTCCAAGACATCCATTTGTCCTGTTAGCAATTCATGATAATTTCAATATTCCTCACCAGCAACACAATGAAAATACATAGGCTTCTCTGCAGTCTTCCTTAACCAGAGTCCAGCTTTCACATACATATAAGGAAATTGAAAGCACCATGACTTGGGTTAGGCACACTTCAGTCCTCAAAATAACATCTTTGCTTTTCAGTACTGGAAAGAGGTCTTATGCAGCAGATTTCACCAACACAGTCCATCATTTGACCTCGACTGTGACTGTTACTTCCAGGAGCATAGATTGTGGATCCAAGCAAGACAAAATTCTTGACAATTCCAACCTTTTTTCCATTTATCGTGATGTTATCTACGGGGCTATATTGAGGATTTTGGTTTTCTTTACATTGAGTAACAAAGGGTGCAATCCTTGAGCTTCATAAGCAAGTACTTCAATTCCCCGTCACTTTCAGGAAGCAGTGTTGTGTCATCCGAGTATACCTGGTTGTTAAGAAGATTTCCTCCAATTCTGATGCTGCCTTCTTCACATAACCCAGCTACTCTGATGATTTGCTCAGCACACAAGATAAATATGGTAAAAGTATAAATACGGACGGACATGCCTTTCCTAGTTTTGAACTATACACTATTCTCTTGTTCAAATAACTGCCTCTTGAGCCATGTACAAGTTCTATATGAGCACAATGAATTTTTCTGGCCTAATTCTTCTTAAGTTTATCCATAGTTTGTTATGATTGTCACTGAAATGCCTTGGCATGGTCAAAAAAACACAAGTAAACATCTTTCTGACATTCTCTACTGTGAGCCAAGATCCATCAGATATAAGTAATAATATCCCTTGTTCCAAATCCTTTTCTGAATCTGGCCTAAACTTCTGGAAAGTTGCCTGTCAATGTACTGCTGCCACCATTGTTGGAGGATCTTCAGCAAAATTTTACTTGTGTGTGATATCAGTGACATTGTTCTCTAGTTCGAGAATTCTGTTGGGTCACTTTCTTTGGAATGGGCACAATAAGATTCTTTCCAGTCAGTTGGCTAGATAGCTGTCTTCTAAATTTCTTGGCATGGATGAGTAAGTGCTTCCAGTGCTTCTTCAATTTATTTGAACGTTAGTTGGCATTCGTTAATTACTGGAGCCTTGGTTTTGGCTATTGCTTTCAGTGCAGATTGAATGTCTAACTTCAAGAGCCATTGGCTCTTGCTCACTTGCTTCATTCTGAAATGGTGGAATTTTACCTACTTAGTGAATCATTCCATAGTTTGCTGGTAGAAGCTTCCTGTTTTGCAACCCAAGGTTTAAATTTCTTCTAGATTTCTTTTCAGTTTAAGACATGTTGAGAGTGTTACTCCTTTTCGGTTTTCTAACTCTAAGTCTTTGCATACTTCATTGCAATATTTCACTTTGTATTGTCAAGCTGCCCTGTCATATTTTCTGTTCATCTCTTTGACGTCATCCTTTCTGCCCTTTGCTTTAGCTACTCTTCCCTTTGACGAAGAGTACGTTTCAGTCTCTTATGACATCCATTTTGATCTTTTCTTTCCTGTCTTCTTAATGACCTTGTGCTTTCTTCATATGTTTGGTTCTTGATGTCTTCTCACAGCTATCAGATCTTCAATCATTAGTGTTTAATACATCAAATATGTTCTTGAGCTGCTCTTGAAATTCTGGTGAGATAGACTCAAGGTTGTATGCTCGCTCTTTTTAACTTTTTTTCATTTTTTCAGCCTGATGTTACATGTGAGCAATTGATGGTCTATTCCACAGTCATCCCCTGGCTTGGTTTTAGCTGCTGACATTGAACTTCACCAGTGTCTCTTCTCACAGATGTAATTTTATTTCTGTGTATTCCATCTGGAGAAGTTCATGTGTGTTGTCCCCTTTTGCTGTTGAACAAAGGTAATTTTTATGAAGAAGTTGTTGGTTTTTCAAAATTCTTTTATATGATCTTCATGTTTTTATCACCAACACCATATTTTCCCAAGGAGTTTCCATTCCTCTTTGTTTCTAACTTTTGCATTTCAATCTTGAATAGTTATCAATACTTGATTTTGTGTTTGATCAATTTCAGAGTGAAGTCCGTGGTAGATGTCTTCAATTTCTTTTACGCTAGCTTTTGTGGATGGTGTATTAATAATTGTATTAATTGGATTTCCTTGAAGGTGGATAGATATAATCCTGTCACAGAGAATATTGTACTTCATGATTGATTTTGCAATTTCCTTTTTAACGATTAATGGTACACAATTCTTCTTGATTGTGTTATTCCTGGCAGAGTAAATAATAAAAACCATTGAGGTAGCAGTTAAAAATTCAATCAACCTACTGCATTGGGTTTCTCTGCTGCTAAAAAGATCTCTTTGATGTGTTACAAATTAATGTTATTTGCATCTACCTCAAGCGATGCTATTTTGAATCCTTTTATGCATATGAGAAAGTTAGGCAATGAATAGGAATGAGTGAAGAATTCATGCTGTTATATTATGGTGTTGTGAAGACTATTGAATATATCATAAACTTTCATAAGAATGATCAAATATCGCTTGGGAGAAGTATAGCCAGAATGCTCGTCTCATGTACGGTGGATATAGTATTTAAGAGAACCCAGTCCCTGGAGAAGAACATCATGCTTGGTTAAACTATAGGGTCAGTTAAAACAGACTTTCAACAAGACATGCTGACATCATATGTGCACCTGTGGGGTTAAACATAACAATAATTGTGGGGATGTCACAAGAGCAGGCTGTGATTTTTTTTGTTTTGTTTTTTCTCCATTGTATATTGGGTCACTGTCAGTCCAACCTGACTAGTGGCAATTAACAACTAAAATACACATTCCATCCGTAATTTTATTATTGGTTATAATCAGACTACATCATGGGAGATCATCACTTGTGACACCTTACATCTCTATGAAACTGTTGAAGAGAATTATGGCCCAACTGAGTTGACACATTTTGAGGGAGCACAACTCAGTCATGACCTACCTTTTAAACAAAATTAGTATCACCTTTTTGATGCCTGCTTCCTACATTCAGAATATGTTTCTAACGAATAAAATGATAAATGGAAAAAAGAGAACCTTTTTCACAAGGGGTTTCCCAAAAAATATTTAGGAAAGGTGATTGTCCAGATAACTTTCTTAAAAGGATGTATTTTCACAGAGGATTGTCCTATGTTCTGATAAAGTGTCCAATGTTTCAGTTAGCTGCAACAAAAAATTAAATGACTGGAAATTATGAGTTTGTCACATGTCAGCTAATAGAGACACAAAGTGTGCTTTCAGAGTTGCATTGGACCCTGTGTATGCCAGAGATCAGGATGTGTGTGGTAAAACATTCATATGTATTCCCCCAGATTGAAAGGAGAAACCAGAATGGAGCATGTTGTTAACATAGGTCTTGCATTTTGAATAAACCATGAAATTATTTAATGCTAGTAATGTTGTTTTTCTAACAAAATTGATCTAAAACTGTATTTATTTATTTAACTACTATGCCTCTAAGAAATCTGTGTAAGTTTTATTAGTTAATTCATACCTTTAAATTATTACATTTCAAGTATCTTTGGAAATACTTTTATGAAAGATTAAAATATAATATATTTTCTTATATAGGGAGCATCCTATGAGAGTGAAATTAATAATATTAAACATGTTATATCAAAAATTAATATAATACTGGCTCATAACTCACCAGTTTTGATAATTCAAAAATGGATTCGTGGCTTCTTCATTAGGAAAAAAATGAGGTATGTTTTATTTTCTTAAAGCATTTGAATATTCATGTAAAGTAAGGAAAGAGCAAACCAAGAGAGGAGTGTAACAGACTAGAAATGGGAGGAAAGCCACAAAGTCCCTGAAGAATCTCGATAGTAGACTTTTGACTCAGGGGGCAACACTTGGCACCTCATCTGAACCAGTTGGGGGATATTCACAAGGGGGCCACACTGAAAGTCTAAAGGTACAACGGGGTGGGAGGTGGGGCACTAGATCACTCCATCCGTGACTGCAGGAAGAGCAATGGGGTCTTGTAGAAGGCCCGCCCCTCAAAAATGTGGAGGACTAAAAGGATATAAGTGCGGTCAGGCAAGCCAGTCCTGGGTTATGGATCCCTGAAACAAAAGGGGATTGGACTGATCAGTTCTATCAGGACCTGCTCCCTATTTAACAGAGGGATGCTCATCTACTCTGGGTCAGGACAACAGTTAGACTTGGGGCTATTTGTATGGTCTCTGTCTCTCTCTCTTTTTTCTCTCTTGTTCTCATTGTCTATCTACATAAGATAGGCAGGACAAGAAATTTCAAGGAGAAAGCTATGGTACCGATGATTCTGACCAGGGGGCATGGGAGATGAGAGCAGGGCCGGGGGCAATGAGCAAATAACCACAGAAGCAAGGGAACAGCAAGGAATTTAAAATTAATAGTGAGAAGGGTATAGCATTCCTGGTCACATTTGATCAATTGAACTGTAACTGAAAGAAGTTACTGAGAGATAAACAATGGGTAAACAAGATAGTGGAGCAGAAGGAAAGAAAAATGAAACAGACAAAAGAAAAACGAAAGTAAAATTTACATATAGGTTTAAAGATAGAAATGTAAACATATAAATATATAAAGATAGGTGTATTTGTGTATATATGCATGTGTGTGTATATATCTATGTGGAGAGATCAATAGATAGATATAGATATATACCAGAGCAGGTGGATTTTGGGCCTCTACCTAAAGCCTACCTCAGTGCAAAAATGGTTTGTTCGAATAATATAGCATTGTATGATACTCATGTCCCTACAAAATCACTGAAGACAAAATGCATGCAAAATCAAATGTGGTGAAGAAAGCTGATGGTGGCCAGCTATTAAAAGATATAGCATCTGGAGTCTTAAAGGACTGAAGTTAAACAAGTGACCATCTAGCAGGTAAGCAACAAAGCCCACATGGAAGAAGCACACCAGCCTGTGTGATAATGAGGTGTCAACGGGAATAGGTATCAGAAATTCAAAAACAAGTAATCAAAGTTTTGTGAAGGAGCATAGACAAAGTGGAGACCCAAAACCCATCTGTATGATAATAGAACAGTCCCTCACAGAAGAGCCACATGGAAAGGATGATATATCCTCTTATGAAATGCATAATATTCTCTGTTCTTTAATATTTTCTCCCCTTCATCTCATTATTCTTGTGAGATGTGTGTATATTCATTTGCATACATAAGGTTGTTCAATGCATGAAATCCGAGGTAGATAAACCCTTCAGAAATCGTAATGGGAGTAATGATTTCCTGAGAGTATGGGAAGGACTGGGGGAGAAAAGAAGGGGGACCCAATAGCAAAAATGACTGTATAACCCCACTTGAGGAAAACAAATAGCAGAATTGTAGGTGAATGCATACATTGGCTGGTGTAAGATACAGCAAATAATAATAATGGTAATATAATAATAAGGGTTCCTGGGGGCTAAGGTGGGGGAAAAAGGGGATAAAAGGGTGTGGATATCAAAGAATTAAGAAGTAAGAAAGTGTTTTGAAATTGATGGTGGCAACAATTGTACAATTATGCTTGATCTAATTGAATTATTGATTGTTATAATATCTGTAAGAGCTCCAAATAAAATTATTTAAAAATATAATACAGTAATAAAAGTATTAAAAGGCAATTCTCTAATTAAATTTTGTGTTATTTTTCATCAAAAGGATATTTAAAGACCATTTGACTTAGTTTGAATAAAAATGCCACAAAGAGGATAATAATGTTTATTATAATATTTAGTAAATTATAATTGGGCACTGTGTAATTTTAAATGACCAGCTGAATAATTAATAAAATTTTAATTCATTGTTACTTAGATAATTCTAACAATTATTCATGATTTTAAAAGTTATCAATCAATAGCATACATTGAACATCTCTCATGTAAAGAGGGATATAATAGAAGTTAGCAAAGAGCTACATGGTGGCTTACAACAGAAATATAAACCATGAATCATGCATGAATATTAGGAGTTTATATGGTATATTTACATATGCAGACACTCCTGTTGAAACATTGGCCTACCCACTGAGCTCCATTATTGTTTGGTGGATTATGTTTCTCCTTGTATTGGTCCTAGAATGCTTTTCTTGTACAGGACTTTTGTGAATAGAGGAAAATTATACTTGGGTAGATGAGGTAGGAGATTTTGTCTTCACTTTATACGTATTAATCATACCAAATATTAAAAATGAAATAATAAATATTTCATATGTTGATTCTCCATTGCTGAATGGTGAAGTTCAGAAGATATAAGATAAATATAAGTTTTAAGGATGGGTAGGATGAAGGTAGTCTTGGTGGCAGAGTGCGTTGGCTGTGGTCCAAACGATCGGTAGCTGGAGAATGATCGCTGGGAGTTGGTGTCCACTCGATGGCAGTGATCTCGGAGTTTTGGATTTGGTGGCATACCCATTACACGTTGAGCTCCTGCCTGCAAGGCCAGCAGTTTGAAGGCACAAGGGTCTCCATGGGAGGAAGAGGGCGTTGTCTACTTCCATGAAGAGTTACATTCTCAGCATCCCAGTCTGAGGCCACTTACATTCTCATGGGTGGTTCTACTCTGGGCTACAGCATTGTTGCAAGTCAAAATCAACTCGAGTGAGGTTTTTGTTTCATTTTCTTTTGTTTTGAGAAGAGAGAGAAATTAGGACAATAAACATTCCATGAGAAAGCAAGATTAGGAATTATCACTTAAATAAAGCAAAAAAAAAAAAAAGGATGGTTATTCTGCACGAACCTGAGCATGTTAAATCATTATTGCAATAGCCCTGAGGAGGAGAGACACCTATGAGGGGCAAGTAGCAAAACTAACCATAATATAGTACTTACAACTTCTGGGGAAATCATTCCACATACTTTCAAACCAAAGTCCATGTGAAAGAAAGGAGTTCTCACTGGGGACATCTGAGATGATCTGGAATTAAAGCTGTGGAAAATGATAAGGTAGTTGCTGATGATGCATTTTTATTTAAAAAGGTATTTCTGAAATAAATTCTTCTGCCGGGAGGGGCAGCTGTACACGTACTTGGGATTGGGGCTGACCCCTCAGACCTCTCCACTAGTTCCCTACTCCATGCCGGCATGTCGTATTCACATCTTGGAGCACCAGGTTGAAGATATAAACAATACCCTCCCCTTGGGTGGGTTAGCACCCTGTTCCACCACTACCCATTTCTTTCTTCTTTCTTTTCTTTTTTTCCTCTCCCGCCTCTTTTTCAGTAGGATACCATATATATCTCTAGATTTGGTCTGGCCCCTGCCATACTACCTGGTCCTCACCCCAGGAATGTTTGTATGCAGTAACTTTTTCCCTATGCCCCTTTTGCATTTTTTTAAGCTTACCTCAGCTAACTCATGTTGTACTTGTCCTTTGTGCTTGGCTTACTTCGCTTAGCATGATTTCCTGCAGTTATTCCCATGCGGCGATGTGCTTCATGCATACATCACTGCATTTTGGCGATGTGTAGTACTCCATTGTAGGCATGTACCACAGTTTTTTAATCCATTCATCAGTTGATGGAAATTTGGGTTATTCCAAACTCCTTGCAATTGTGAAGTGTGCCACAATGAACATTGGAGCACAGATCTGCCTTGGTTTGCTTCTTACGTCTTCTGGGTATGTGCCCAGTAGGGGGATTGCTGGGTCATATGATAGCTCGATTTCCACCTGTTTTAGATATCGCCAGATGGATTTCCATGATGGCTGTACATACCTACAGGCCCACCAGCAGAGGATGAGAGTTCCTGTGGGGACAGCCCCTCCAACACTTGTTACTTTCTGATTTTTTTAAATTGAGCTATCTTTGAGGGTTAAGTGGTATCTCATAGTTGTTTTAATTTGCATTCCTCATAGCTAAAGATCAGGAACATTTTCTCATATGTTTATTGGCCATTCAGATTTCTACCCCTGTGAAACTTCTGTTCAGGTATTTACCCACCTCCTCAGTGGGCAATTAGTTTTGCTCTTTTTGGAAGCTAGCAGAGTATTGTATATTTTAGCAATAAGGCCTTTGTCTGATGTGTCATTGCTAAAGATGTTTTCCCAGTCCATGGACTCTCTTATTCTCTTGGTGAATTCTTTCAATGAGGACAGCACTGAAACTGCAGCTGAGGGAGAAGGACACGTCTGATCAGAGCACACAGGAGCAAATAAAGGGGGAGGAAGAGAGAGTTGAGCACATCCTGGCCCACCATGCCTTGATGACAATATTCCCTCTCAGAGCAGCCAATCCACAGAGAAGACCATATGGCCGGCCCCAATATGAGACATGACATCCCTCAATGACCCATAGCCCTACAGGGGACAACACTGGAGACAGTGTGGGAATTGCACCTGATCTGAAACCACCACACCGAGGCAAAACACTAAGGGCATGCAACACAACAGCATGGGGAACAGAGAAACAAAGTCCCCAGGGAATACCAAAAATAGACTTTGGGGCCAGGGCTCAGCGCCCCATCAGATTCCACCAGAAAACACTCCTAAAGGTCAACAAACAGTCCTTGAACTCACTACAGGTTTTTCTTTTTTGTTGCTGTTGGTTTTTTGTCATTGGCTTTTTGTTGTTGTTGTTTTGTTTTCTTTTGTTGCTTTCTTTTCTTCTGTCTTGTTTTTGTGCATGTTATTATATCTGCAGGTCTCTTTAAATAAGATAGGCTGGATGAATATACTAGGAACTCTCAGAATAACGAACACATCTGTCTTGGATGCTACGAG